ACGCGCGTCGATTTTTAATTGCTGTCCAGAGGGGACACAACGAATATGTGTGTGTGTGTGTGTGTGTGTGTGTGTGTGTGTGTGTGTGTGTGTGTGTGTGCAGCTGAAATTAGATCAGGGAACCGGAAACCTTTCTGTGGAGGTAAAAATCGTAATAATAACAATAATGATCTCTTTAAATGATTGTACACATATAGATTATGGGTGTTTCGTTGTGAACAGCATGCAGGGTTTGTGGATCTCCAACATTTGTAATGAAGCAGCAAGAGGCACCTCACAGAGGCATGTTATCTATAATTGCAATATTGTGCATATGTTTATAGCATGTGTTTAGAAAAATGAAATACATGGTGGGTTCAAATAATGTTTCTGAGCCATTTTCTGGACTCACATGTGGGGACAATGGGAGTAAGTCTCCATGCTGATGTCAGCATCACAATGCGCTTCAGCAGATATTCTCACCTCTCCGCTTATACCAATAAAAACAAGCGATGAAATGACACCTTCCATCCTCTGAGACTCTGTTATCATCACTCACCTTTGGCGCCATGATCTTTATCCTCTTTGCTCTTCGTTTTCCCGCTCATGGAGCACTGACGCTTCTGCTGCTGCTGGTTGGAATCAAACTTCAGCTCAAAGATGCTGCTTCAGGCTTTTTCACTTTCTCATCCTCCTCGGGTGTGTTTCCTTCTCTCCAGTCTCCACACACACACACTCACACAGGGTAGTATAGTATAAACAGTCCAACTCTGTGCAGCTCTTCTCTCTGTCTCTCTCTCTGTCTCTCTCTGTCTCTCTCTCTGTCTCTCTGTATTTCTATCTGAGAGCCCGTCGTTACATGTCACCACGAAAGCGACATGCACGAGCGCTTCTGAGCGTGCACGCGCAACAACAAAAAACCCCTGGACATTGAGAGACAAAGAAAGATGAACCCAACATAAAAAATGTGCAAGCAAAGCAATAACACTGTTTTACTCTGCACGATAGGTAACAAGCAAACCATGAAGAGGAGTCCCTCATGAAGGTTAACAAGCAAGGTAAATGAATCATAAACCAATGTTTGATCGATTACTTATGAGCCATTTAACAACGTTTGAGTTGCCAGGTGGGAAATCCTCATCCAGAGTATCTTTTTTGCTAAACTAATTTATAAAGAAACCAAATACCTTTTATATAATAACATATTCACATTTAATGGCAGGTTAGTGACCAGTGTATCAATGACACACTAAGACATGATGGTTTATCAGAAAATAAATATTAGAAAGTGATAAAAATGTGACCTCCATGTATGCAGTTACGGTATAAATGCTATAAGTCATTAATAAAGAGAAATAGCTAATCAACATTAATTCTGAAACCATAAATTAAGGTATCGCATGTTTTAATTCATGCAATCATATGCAGTTACAAATGTTTATTAATAGTCAATTAAAAGGTTTTTGCAGTAATTCATGCAATCAGCAGCTGTAAATATTAAGAAGTTGTTAATAACGGGCTTGTTTTCCAGATGCCACGCCTTCTCAAAAAGTCTAAAGAAAGACAAGTGAATTCAAATTTTTAAGTTTATATTACTATCACGGATTTATACAGCATCATTAAATGAACCATTATTAAAGCCACTATCACAGCTTATATACAAGTAGATGATCACATTTTAGACCTTAAGAAGGTCACTATATTCACAAGGTTGTCTTCTGTTCAATAAATGCAGATGCACCTGCACACTCAGCGGTTTAACAATATGCAAACGAGTCACTTGATTGATCATTCAATCAATTTGTGCTGTAAAATGTCTTTTTCACGAAGGCAGAAGTAGGATACACTTACACTGTGTCCTGTGACAGTCTCTGTTTTACAGGGTTGCTTCCCCCGGTGTGTCAGAATGTACATTATCTGACGTCCAACATTTAGATGAAATAACTTAATGCTTCTCATTTTCTGGTTGGGATCTTATGTCTTTTAAAAAGACTAACTCTCTCTTACATTTCTCTTTCTTAAATTACTCAATCAGCAGTTCACTTAACATATATTTCGGACAGTATGGCTCTCCTCTCCTCTGCTCTCATCAGTTTGAACACACCATCCTAAAGGCTTTGGTTTGTCAGTGTTTGGGTCAGAGATAAATTTAACATCGTCTATTAACCTACATCCACTGGCCATCTGGAAGTAATCCTGATTTTGTTTATTTCTGTCTTGGACTTTCAGTAATTCATTTCAGGAGACCTAGTTTTAACCATTTTTCTAAAGCAGCAATGAAATTTCAAGATATTTACTGTAAATCACCCAGTTATCTGTGTTATTTCTTCAAGTTAAAGGTCAGAATAAAGAGTTTTCCCACAGATTATCATCTCTAACTCTAAAATGTGTCTCTGCATTTCATAAGATTTATTTTCCCTAAGTGATGCTTGGTCACTGGTATAAAATCCAAATGGCCTGAAACATGCTCCTAGACACATTCTGGAGATACCATGTGGGCCTCCACACTTCACCATTCCACAATCCATATTCACCATTCCATGTATACATGTATGCAGTACAAGTCAAGTCCAAAAGGCTTTTTGACTCCAGCTACTAAATGAGCCAAACGCTGGCCTTCAGCCATCCTCTCCTTTGGAGGATTACTGATCTGGGACCAGCTGCTCTCTTAGAACACAAAGTGCCACATGCAACTTAACTGCTCCTGTTCCCATCTGCAAGAACCAGCTCTGAGGAAAAGCTTCCAGAAGTGTAAGATTGATGCAAACAGATACAGCCCACACTGGCATCTCCACCACAAAAGGTAAACAGTCGCATATTTACCTCCGCCTCTAATTGTTTTCTATTTGTGTTTGTTTGCATGATTACGCAGAAAACTACTAAGCCAAATTGAAAGATGGAAAGAGGGGGCTTTGGCCTGGAAAGATTCCTATAATTTTGTTGCAGATGTAGATAAGGGGGACATCAAGGATTTGATTTCTAAGTTTCTAAGGGAGCAGTTCTTTGTGTAGCAGATTCAGGGTTCTACTGCCAGTGATCAAACACTGCATGGTCACTTTTACAGTTTCAGAAAGAAGGCTGCAAACCAGCGTCACCACAGTCCATTCCAAACATTCATGTTGCTGCATGAGAGTCAGATAATGACTGAACAGATAAGGTGTGAGGCATGTAGGTGTTTAACTGAACTGCTATCATCCTTTATTACATTTTCATGAATGCCGTGATTGTAACCAAACATTGGAAACGTTGTTACTGGAACTAATTTAGAAAAAACTGTGCACTCTGCACTGTGCGCTGGTCTCAGGTCAGCTGTGGTACTCAGTGTTGTTGAGGCACATTGACCTCAGAGCAAGCAAACAAATAAACAAGCCGGATGATTACACTGTGGAGGAAGGAGGACATTTGTGTAATGATTGATGAGAAGGTGACAAGAAAAACTAGGTTATTAATTGATCTCATGCTCTTCATAAGTTATTTTGGATCAATCAATTATACAAATGCTCTTGTGATCAATTTGAAAGCAAAACATACACAAGATGCTTAAATTTAATAACCAGTCTCATGACAGGACAGTTTTCTCACCTACATGCTTTAACCTACTGCCTCTACTCATGTGACATCTCTGGACATCAGTGACCCCCTCCTCTACTGCTGAGCCATAGTTCACAGGACTGAGAGGCATGCAGTCCCAGGACACTAATCAGCAGAATGTGGTTTAATCATAATAGCGGCAGAGAACTTCTTAATTGTTACCTTCCCTCATTATTTTTTTCCTGCTGGATTCTATAGTTTGCGAGGTGGGATGAGCTTAATGGTTTGCATAATTTGCACTAAAAAGAGGGATGCGACCTTCCCTCAGCCATTTTAAATCATCGTCGGCCAATAAGTCTCCACAGGGCTGTTGTTGCCAAGGCTCGAGGCCAGCTGACTCGGCTGTCAATCACAGAGATTTGTCCACAGCCACTCCCTGTGTAACTCACACTCTAATCACGCAGCCATCAATAGTCAGGATCCAGCTCAGAGTTTGGGTGGTCTTTAGGACCAATGACAGGTTTTGATTATATTCTCATCATGTTTGATTGTCTTCTGCTGTGTCTAAGTGGCTTTTGACTGATTATAACTTATCTAGAAAACGTTTCTCCTTTGAAATCTTGACATATTTGTCTGACTTGATCACAGGACTAAATCCTTCCATTATAAATTGTGCTGACAGCAGCCAATGTCCATAAAAGTGTTAATTATGGTGTGGTGGGAAATTCTAAATCATTACTGTTGTACAAATAAAAAATCAGAAGAGTAAAAGTTTCTTATAGACACGTTTTTGTTTGTGTAATGTCAAAATATGAATCTATAGATTCTCTGACATTCAGATCAGAGTTTGATTAAGGTGAAGCTAAGGAAGGGTTCATCTTTGGCCAGTTGGGATGGTTAGTGTTAGGTTTAGGAGTTATATCGATGTATGTAAGGGTTGTCCACTATCCACAATGTCAGTGGTTTGATCCCCTGCATCTCCAAATTAGCCCCTCACTGTGTATAAATGGTGGGTGATGGGTGTAATGATTGGTGTGTGAATGGGAAAATTCAACTTGTACTGTAAAGTGCTTTTGAGTGGTCGATAAGTGCTAATATGAACACTGAATACTGAATACATTTATATAGCTATAACTTACCTAGTAACTATGAATAAGTTTGCCATTTATCATGTATGAAGTGAAGGAGGGTCCTCACAAATATAGAAGTACAAACCTGTGTGTGTGTGTGTGCGTGCAAGTTCACCCCATTTGAAACTGTCACGTAAGCTTTGCTGAAAAAAGCTGCTTATCAGACAAGATTCATCATGGTAAACAACATGATTAACAGCTGGTAATGTCAACACACACACACACACACACACACTTTCCAAAAATGTTCCTCTTACACATCAACAGACAATATTTGCTGCTGCGCAATTTAATCAAACAGGACTGAATAAAATCCTCTGCTTTCAAACTGTAGCCTAAAACGCTCTCAGTCTTTGCTGTTTTCACACACTCAGTATCTGTCGCACACTTTTTTCTTATCCTTATTCGATCTCTCTCTCTCAGATGCACGCACACATACACAGATGTGAACAAACACCGACACACACAATCACACACTGTGTGGCCTCTCCGGTGGGTAAACAGTAAGTCGTTGTACTTTGGTTCCATCACCGAGTTCAGGCTTTGGCAATTCTGTTGAACGCAGACGGAGAAGTGACGGCAACAAGATGGCTGGGGTTTATTTACTGGCCCTTACCGCTGCTTTCCTGCTGGAGGGACTGGCAGCAGAAATCACAGAGGAGAACACAGGTAAACAGCAGCTTAGTACAAGTATGGATGAAGGAGGTGGGCAGCAGGCAAAGGTAAGAGACGCAAAAACACTTAGGAAGAAGCGGCTGGTCAGGCAGTTTACATCAGGTCTGTACTCTGACCCAAAGACTTGACATAATACACCACTAAAAACCGTAAACTATTATGAAGCCTACATAGATTTTGCCTTTGCCATTTACAAAGTTGTTAAAACAATGTTCTTTTTGCGCTCCTCTTCTTTTCTGGAAGCTGTGTTCGTGTCTCAGCAGACGGCACACGCAGTGCTACATCGCCAGCGCAGGTACAACAGCGGCCATCTTGAAGAAATAATGCACAAAGACAATCTGGAGCGGGAGTGTAAAGAGGAGATCTGCTCATTTGAGGAGGCCAGGGAGGTGTTTGAGAACAATGAGAAAACTGTAGGTTGCATTGAATGCTCGCATGCACACACACACACACACAGATAATCCATTCTAGTACTATAATAAACTCTGATGTTTGTGTTTCTCTTTCAGATGGAATTCTGGGCCGGATACATTGGTACGTATGTCAAGAGAAAGCAAAGTTTCTCATTGTTACCCATAATTCAGGGCATACAAAAAAAAAAACTCTAAACCTGTGTGTGTGTGTGTGTGTGTGTGTGTGTGTGTGTGTGTGTGTGTGTTTCATATTTGTGTGTAGATGGTGACCAGTGTAGACCAAATCCCTGCCAGAATGATGGTGCGTGTCAAGATGGAATAGGTTCTTATATCTGCTGGTGTGAATCAAGCTTCAGTGGCAAGAACTGTGAGATTGGTGAGTGAGAAACACTTAAAGGCACAGTGTGTAGAACTTTGTGATATCTAGTGATGAAATTGCATGTTGCAGCTGAACACCCATCACCTCACCCTCTCCTTCCAAACATGAAAAAGAACCTGTGGAAGCCTTTAATTGTCATAAAAACTCAAAAGGTGTTTAGTTTGTTCAGTCTGGACTAACTTAAAAACATGGCGGCCTCTGTAGAGAGGGTCCCCTCGATGTGAATATAAAGTATTTGAATATAAAGGAGCTTTTCTGGGGTAAAGAAAACTACAATTCATACAATTTAGATGAAATGAACTAGTGAAAACATCATGAGGATTATTCTACATTCAATTTCTGCCAATAGTTCCCTCTCACCTAAATCTTACACACCTTTAAACAAGCTTCTTTACTATATTCTTATACCTGCAATATAAACTTTTATTCAATTTCTGTTTTCTAATTCCATCCGTTTAAGCACCAAATGATTAAGAACAACCTAAAAAAAGGAGATTAATTCTGTTTTCCTGCCTGTTTCCAGAGGTGGCCAAGCAGTGTTCGATCAACAATGGTGGATGTTCCCATTTCTGTAAGATGCAGGGGGAGATACCTGTGTGTCGGTGTGCAGCTGGTTACAGTCTTGATCAAGACAAGAGCAGCTGTAAACCAACAGGTATAGTTAACATGATAAACCGCACACACACACAGCAGCACAGTACTGGAACAGGTGATACTGTATATTTAATAGTTATATATGATATATGTAACATGTATTGCACACACTACATGGAGTGCAGGGTAAACACTCATTTTAAGTGGCACAGTGCCTAAACATAAATGTGTTGTGGCATCCTTCGAGGTTGTCAGGGGGGGCTGGACAAGTCACCTGTCCATCACAGAGCTGATATATAGAGACAAACAACCATTCACATTTCACACCTTCGGGCAATTTAGTCTCACATTAACTGAAGCACCATGTCTGGAATCATCTTTCATCCCTTTGTTGTCCAGTAAGACGGAACCATAAACTTTGTGCTGCTGTTTACAGATGTCAAATAAAGTATAGAAATTAAAAAGTTATTGCCGACAGCTTGAATACCAATTGAGAGCCACTCAGAAAACCAGCAGATAACTCAAGTGATAGTTGAGTGAATGCTTGAATCAAAACAGTGGCAACCTACCTCTGATTACATTTAATATACCTGCACTTTACATACAGAGCTCAAATTCTGACAAAATACTACACGCTAAAACCTACCATTTCTCTGAATACCTAAGTCAGGTGGTCTTTTACCCATCTGAAATATTGAAAATCCTTCATTTGTGTGAAAAACACTAGAACCACAGGATTCAAGTGTGGGTAAATCTGCATTTAGAGTAAAACTAGCCATTCAGCATGTGACACAACGACTAATCCTTTCTTTTGTCATTTTCTGCACAGGACCCTTCAGCTGTGGCCAAGTGAACTTGTCCCCCACATCCAGCAACAGGTTCTTTGTGAACCCACGGGCATCCAATGGGACAGAATCTTTCAAACATAGCTTCAATAGCAGTGAAATTCTGCAGGATGACTACAATGACTACAACACGACACAGTTTTACGATTACTACGACCTCCCTGCGAACGATTCTGAGCCGTCGGACATTCCCGTGGCCCCACACGTGCGTTTGACGAGGTCAGATTCAGGCTGCCCTGCAGGTCCATGTCAATTTGAAACCACTGAAAGTGAGCCAGTTGTCATTGACATACCAGTGATAAAGCTGGAGCACTATTTCCCCACACTCCCCACCATCACAGCAAAAGAGAACACTGACCAGAGGATTGTGGGAGGTAATGAGGCCACTCCTGGAGAGATACCATGGCAGGTAGCGTGGGATGCAAAATGGTAACACCAGGGAAACCTCTCTTTATTTAATATCTGCAACAGATTAATGGAATTTAAATATGAAACTGAAGGATTTGACCTTATAGGGATAGTTCACTGAAAAATAAAAATTTACTCACTATCATTATCTGCTACCCACTATGCCTATGGAGGGGTGGGTGAAGTGTTTGAGTCCACAAAACACTTCTGGAGGTTCAGGGGCAAACTTCTACTCGAAACGAGATCATTTACATCGTGTTTTTGGTCTAAAAGTTCACCGGAGGTGGCTGAGCTAGTGGATGTTGAATGCACCTTGTAGGAGGATAACAGATGACATTTAGGCTACAAGCACAGTGTAATTCAAATCGAATTTGAATGTCAGAGCTTGCAGACTCTTGGATGACACCACACGAGCAGTATGGAGGAATGTTATGTATTTTCTGTTGTTATATTACATCTGAAGAAGGATTCCCCATTGACTTCAATTATATTTAGATTCTGCTGCAACAAAGTTTACCCCTGAAACACCAGAAGTCATCGGTATAGTGGTGAGTAGATGAGTGAATTTTCATTAATGTTGAACTATCCCTTTAAGGGTTCAATGAAGGGAATGAAGTGATGAGAGAGGACAGAGCGGTAGAAATGGTCAGAAAAGAGGAAAATTCAGAAGTTTAGAATTGGGAACAGTGAGGCAGCATGTGTCATAAACAAACACCAAAGCATTTGTGTCTCTGCAGGTGACCCTGATGACTCACTCAGCTTCCCTTGGGAGAGGGCAGCAGTTCTGTGGAGGATCTCTGCTCAGTGAATTCTGGGTGATCACTGCCGCTCACTGTCTGGTGGACGCTGCTGTCCCTAAAAAAGTTTTCTTCATCAGAGTGGGTAAGAAAAACAAAATGAGACTGGGAAATGAAAATTGGATTTGTATCTCTGGAAAACATAATCTCAGATTCATTTAATTCATCAAAGATTAATAACTAATAAAATTGTTTTGTTGTATCTGTTTCTTTCAAAATGTTATTTTGATTATTACTTTTGAAGCTGTTAGACTGTTAGAAAATGACCTCATTGTATATAAATGAATGTGTTCTTCTAGGTGAACATGATGTGAATGTGGATGAGGGTCCAGAGAAAGACCACTTGGTGGCAGAGCAGCACATCCACCCCAGGTATGACATTAAGAAGTCGCTTTATAATCATGACATTGCGCTGCTGAAGCTCGCCACTCCAGTGGAACTGTCAAACCAGCGGCTTCCCATCTGTCTGGGCCCCAAAGACTTTACAGAGGGCTTGTTGAGGGAGTCCAGCAACTCCATGGTGAGCGGCTGGGGACGGCTTACATTCCAGGGTGCTTTGTCCAGCAAGCTACAGAAGCTGGAGGTCCCCTACGTGGAACGCACCCACTGTAAACAGAGCAGCCGGTACCACATCACACGCTTCATGTTCTGTGCTGGCTACAAAACTGAGGAGAAGGATTCGTGCCAGGGGGACAGTGGGGGCCCGCATGCCACCAATTACAAAGGCACCTGGTTCCTGACGGGCATAGTCAGCTGGGGGGAGGAGTGCGCCAAGGATGGGAAGTACGGCATCTACACCCGAGTGTCACAATACTACCCCTGGATCAGTCAGACAACAGGGATTCAAATAAACAACTGATGCCATGCTGCCGTCAAGAAAGCAAACAATATACCTTGTTCTGTAATTGAGAAAGTGAGAAGTTTTTTCCAACTCTGTCAAGTGCTAATGTTAATGTTGGCTTTTCAATAAACTGCAATGAGAATATCTGAGTATTTTTCGTGTATATATATTGTATAATAGAAACCTTGAAGCTTTTCATACATTGTTTGATCTTGTCCGGTTGAAGCTGGGCAGAGCTGTGGCTGTGATCAAACTCCAACGAGGTCAGATCAACATTAGCGAGGCAAACAGTGACTCACTGTAACCTCGCTTTTCCTGTCAGGAAAGGAGGAATAACACGTGTAACATGTGGAAATTCCTATTTCCAATTTAAATCAACGATTGAAACCTAACATGTATATAAATATTCACACTCACTCTAAATGCATTCTTAATAAACACCAATAAACAGTTTGTCAGTTAACTGGACGAACCAAACACCCCTCCACGTACTTCCCACTTGTTGTAACCCTCCCGGGACAAATATTAGGTGCAGGAGCCCCCAAGGAACCAAAACTCCCAGAGAGGCCAGAGGTAAAGTTAGTTAGTTTGTTTGATTCTGAACAATTTTTCCGTTTTGCCAAGCATGTTTTTTTACATGACGAGTAAATGACTAATTGTTATCATGGTTAAGTCTTCAATCAATGCACACCATTTTCTTCTTCACAGACAGGTAGGCAAAGCAACTCCCGTTCAAACATCAATCCATCGATGAATAATGGACCTCTTAATCTGCGTCTGCAGCAAAATCTAATGGATTGACTTTTACCTGGATTTCCCTGTTTAGGTTTGTGTTCAGTTGTTTTCCCCTGAGTTCTCCACTTCCTGTTTTATTTTGAAATAATGTTACTTGTGTGTCTGTGGCTTTATTTCCCTTGTGATCATCTGCACATGTTCTTCATGTGTTCCACCTGTGTTCAATCAACCTGCCTCCCTTGTGTTTATAAGTATGTGCTTCACTCTGTCTTTCACTTGTCATCTTGCTCGTATCTGTTGTACTTTGCTGCTTTGTCCTGTTTCCCTATAGTGGTTCCTTGCATGTTAAGTTTTGATCTTTGTTATTTGGATTGGTGTTTTTGTGTTGATTTCCTCTTCCTTGTGTTTTGCCTACAATTGCTAGTTTTTTTTACCTGTATCTGTGGCTCCTGCATTTGGGTCCTCCTGCTCTATTTGTGACAATTAAGCTGGATAGAAATCACATCAGTCCAATAATCCTGTGCTTTAATTTTGGAAAATAATCATGTAGATTGTGCATTATCATACAGGCTTTCACAATGATTAAAAATATCAAAAAAGTGCAAAATGAGCAGAAGCAGCAAACACCAGTTTCTGGTACTGTTGACTTCTTACAGCCTGATCAAAACCCAATAACATAATGTTACAGCGCTGTGTTAGGTCTGTTTGGTGGATTCCAAATAAGTTTTACATGAAGGAATGTTACTTGTTACTGAGTATCTTTTAGCACACCTTATTTAGACATTGTGGCACTATGACATTACTTTAATTCTCCTACTATGGAAATGAATCAGGGTTAGGATTTATGTTACCAGCAGGATTAGATTTAAATTCTGCAGAGATGCAACAAATTCTGCAGAAATCATCTATCTGTCCAATTGAGTAATGACCAAGGTTGTTTTTAACATCTAATTATTAGCTTTCTTTGTAATTGTGTTCACAATGTGTCAGTAGCATAAGTAACTACATTATTGTATTCTGCCTCAGCATATGTAGTGGTAAATTGGCAGTGTTTTTACAAGCACTTTTTTCTCTTTTATACTTTGACAGCTTCTTAACAGGCTTTTTTTTACAATGTGAAGTCAGACTGGGCAGTTTTAAAGAAATGTTAATAAAAAGATCAAATTATAATTAAATATAAAAACCTAATGCTGTAATCCACAATGTAAGGGTAATAGTTCAGTTGGCATTTACAATTCTACATTATAGTTACAGCAACTTCCCAAACACGGAGTCCAGATTCCCTTTTAAACAGCAGTACAAATAGCAGTGAGCATTAGCAGTGATTTATACAGGCAGAGCAGCAAATAAAGAGCTGGTCTCATCTCATGGTGACAGTGGAAACTACAACTGCAACAGAGGAGGACCAGATTTCCTCAGGCACAAATTCAAAATTCACCAAATAATACAAAATCAAAAGCGGCTAAAATAAAGAGAAACAAAGCAAATAAATGTTTGAAATTCCTGCAAAGTCCAACAACTACTGAACAACAACAGGCAGCTGTGATGGCAGTCACTGCAGGTGTCTCCATTTCTTTCTTCAGACCCTGATAGCGTCTCTGTTTCACTTGTCATAGCAGGAGAAGTATTTGTGATAAAAACACTAATGACTCTGCTCCATTGAAATTTCCCACTGAGCCATCGGGTGGAAGAATCAGTGCAGTTTCAGTCCTTCCAGGTGTTCCTGACAAAATAAATTATTTAAAATATAAGCAGTGACCTTTGACCATTGAATTCTAAACAATCAATCAGTTGAATCCAAGTGACACATTTTCCGAAATTCCCTAGAGGCTGATTTGGGATTTCATGATTGATGATTTCATGAGGTCAAAAACATATTTTGTGATGCCAGCGTGACCTTGGCCACCTAAGTTTAATCAGTTAATCTGTTAAGTGAACATTTTTGAGGCATTCTGAAGATAATGTGTTCAGGAGGCAAAAAAAGGATTGTCATTGTGAGATCACAGTGACGTTTGAATTCTAATAAGGTCATCCTGAGGTCCAACTGATTATTTTTTCCAAATTTGAAGAAATTCCCTCAAGGTTTTCTTGAGATATTGTGTTCACAAGAAGAGAACAGATGGACAATCTGAAACCATAATCCCTCACTCCAGTGATGTAGCCAGCTGTTGTAGAACAAAAATAAGTTATTTTCCACAAAGGAGATTGTTGCTGTTTACAAAATAAAGCCACAATGACTCGCTGAGCTGTTTGGCACATGTACAGTAATGATATGTCATTAGGCATATGCAGGATGTCTGATATTTCATAAGAAAATACAAATGATAAAACGATAAACAAATGTCCACTGTATGAATAAAAGCTCCATGTTCAACGTCTTTAGTCCAGATCATCTTCTGCGTTAAAGCTGGGAAATAGTTTGAGGTCCCATTTAAGTTGTTGGTTGTGATACAGTCTTATGAGGCCATTTCTGTCATTTACATCCTTCAGACTGTCACAGTAGTTTGAAGTGTAAGGTTTATGGCTGATGTTGTGCTTCAATCACATAATGAAAGTATCAGCAGAGACAGATGCCCCCTTTTGGTCAGGATGTGTGTGTGTGTGTGTGTGTGTGTGTGTGTGTGTGTGTGTGTGTGTGTGTGTGTGTGTGTGTGTTTAAGGAGGGAGGGAGCCAAATAAGTGACAAAAGGAGAATGGACACAGGCGTCATCTATCCTCTGTTCTGATTGGCTCTCAGCAGGTCTCTCCCAGAATCCTGTGCAGGTCTTCAGGGAGAACACGGCCCTCCTCCACACGACTTATATTCCTCACCATCCTGTAATCAACACACCACAGTCTCAAAAAACGTTTTCAACACATCTATTCGTTCTCTTTGTTTTTTCATCACTATGATTGTTTGCAAATTGTTTTTAAAGTGGCTGTAAATTGTAATCCTAATTACCACATTCCTGACGAATCCTCATGGAGCAGCTGGATGACGTCACCGCAGTTAAAGATGATGTCATCAGTGCTGGCCATGCTGCTCTCCACCATGACTCTGTACCTGCCCGCTACCTGAAACACAAGAGAACGTGGACACTTGTTCTTTCACTTTTCTACATGCACAACAATGTATATCTTTAAATCAATTTCTATGGAGTACAAGAGATGAGAGTCGGCACACAAGCAAAGTACATCTAATATCAGGCAGGTGTCATTACCAAGGAGATCATGATTTAACCCACCTGTTTGTTTGCTTGGTTTTAAACCAGATTATGCAATGACTACCAATTCAATGCCCAGGAAATTTAGTTGGAGTTTGTGGTATGAGTCAGGGAAGAACCAGGAATTTTTTATCACTTTCTTCAACATTGCAAAATAGGCCATTAAACAATATTTTACCAAGTTTCCCAGACAATAATTCATGGATCATGAAAAAAATCAGGCATAAAAAGGGGACAGATATCTATGAGTGTGTGTAATGTGATGCAGCTTGATTGAGTTTAAGGGGGCTATTCAGCCTTGGCGGGAGTATGTGACGTGATTGCCATAATTAAATATGAGCCCACTAAGGGAGGAGGGCAAGAGAGAGGAGGAAAGAATCAAAAAATGGAAGAAAGTTGTCGTGCAGGAGGATAAAGGGAAAATCCTTTGTTGAAAAGGTCGACATCGGCTAATAGCCCTTATTACTTGAGTGCTTTGGTTTAGTTTCTGTTTTACTCACAGTGCCGTCATAGTGCTGGTGACCTTCAGATGTCGAGAGCATCAAGTATGTGTAAGGTTTGTAGAAGCTGGTATCATAGTAACACTGAGTGAATCCGTCTGGACAGAACAACAAATCTGTTCTCCAGCACTACCTCTAAATAACTGACAGTACAACCGTCTCACCAGCGGAGCAGGCTGATCCTCCTCCTCTGAATCTGAGAGGTTGGAGAGGTCAGTGGCGCCCCAGTCCTCCAGGCCTTCGCAGATCGCCACAGAGTGGGCCGGGACGGGCCAACCTGTAGGTGACAGACAACTGATCTACAAATATGTTGGTATACTAAAGGAATGGTCAATGATTCATAAGATGTCACTATCATACCTTTATCATAACCTCCAATTCCTTATTTATACAAAGAATGGAGCAAATTACACAAAGATGCAAGTATATACTGAGAAAGCTAAGTGTGTATTTTCTGCGTCGTCTCAATGACTCACTGCGTCGGGGCGACTGAACCACCGGGTCTGAGTGGGCAGGACTACTGTGTACTGACTCCTCCCCCTGGAACCTGTAGGAGTGGCTTGTTGCCGAGGAGCTGTGAGGAACAGGGAGACACGCTGAGCAGCCTCCCACCGGCGCTCCGCCCCACGACACACACATCTCTGATGCACTAAACAGCATCACCATGACAACAACGAACAAAACGGACGACAACATTCACGGTGTCACAAAACGAGCTCATCCACATTCTGTAGGTTGATAAAACGTTCCATTGAGTTCACAGTCACATATATTTCAGCGGCTGATTTCAAAAGATGTTTGAATTTAAAATACAAATATCAGTTTTTATCAGATCGTGGAATATATGGAAATGTTACTTTGAGGTTAGAGTAATTTTCACACATACCAGAGTTTATATAAACAGCACTAGCAATTCATACAGTTTAGTTTAACCTGCTTTAAATAGCAGACGGGTACGACTTAAGTCAAGATGCAGACAGAAAATTGATATGACAGTCATTTGAATACATTAAAGCTTGTACCCATCTGCTAAATAAAGTAGAAACTCTTTCAATAGTTGCAAAAGCTATATGACCTGAAACTTTATACACCAAACACAACTTAATGTTCCATTATTGTCACTATACCTGAGAACCAGCACTTCCAATGAATAACAAACATCGAAACAACTGTAGGATCTTGAGCCAAACTGTCTTGATCTCCCCCTGGTGGCTGGTTGCAATATAGGTCATAAACCCTGCCTCCTCCATGCTAGTGGATGGGACATTGACCAAACTAAAACGTTAAAGTACACGTCAATAAAAACATTTAATCTGTCATTTTATGTTGTTCTTATCATACTGATGTTTGTTCAAGTGTTAAATATTAGGTAAGTTTGATTTTGTTTAGTTACTTGATGCTATTGAACCAAGGTGTGACATCATAATTGACTGACATGTGATTGGTCGAGCATGTGTAGACTACAAATCAAGCAGAAAGGGCTTTATATTTGTAAAAGAGGAAGAAGTGAAGACACATCGTCCAACTTTATTTACAGTCTGTGGTTTCAACTGTTTTAACTGAAGAAACATCTGAGAATAATGTTTCGATAATTGCTTCACACCAGGATCAATAACATAATAGCTGCCTCACTTAAGGACTGTTTAAGCAGCCTGAAGCATCAGTGCAGTGCCTCTTAATCACGGTCAACAGCTCTTTAAAACCTCTGCTCACAGATTATTAAACAGTGGAGGAAACCACGGGGATGAAGATGACAGCGAGTTGAATTCAAAAGCAGCAGTGGTAATAAAAACTGAGTCATTCTCCATGGTGCTGAAATTCAGCATGGACAGTGTTAATACCATCTGCACGACTCGGCAACGTCGTCATGAAAACCAGTTCTCAAGGGTAATGACAAAGATAAAAGATAACACATGGCCACACACACACAAGCTGCACTTATAGAAATTCAATTATTAGCTTTTACATCCTGTGCACAGATTTCCATGATGCTTCGTAATAAAAATAATAGGACAGGGTGGCATGTGGGTGAGACTGAAGAGTTATTGGATCATTAAATCATTTCAGAAATTGAATTTGCATCATAAAAACCATAGCTAATAGGAAACTTTCCCCCTCATTCATCTAGATTTAAATACGTTTTTGAATTGAGGCTCGATTACAAGTGAGTCTGCTCATTCTCACCATCACATGCCAGGATAGACAGGAGATCATGCAGAGAGAATCACCTGTCAGAAACTGGGTTGCCTGAAAGTGGTAGAGGATGAGGCTCATCTGAGGAAAAGAGAATGGACAGATGATGCAGAGGCGAGAATTAAATTAAAGACATCTGCTGTTTCCAAAATAAAACAGGCTTCCCTGCTGGAGAGCATCAACACTAAACAACATAATCTCAAAATGAAAGTTTCTATAGTTCTTTATTTCCTCTTCAAAAGAGAGCTGAACCCAAGTTGAAGAAAAAATTTGTTCAAGACTCGAATGAGGTCAACTGTGACCTTTGTGCGCTGAAATCTAATCAGTTCATCTAAAAGTGGAGGCAAAAAAAGGGTTATTTATGATGTCACCATGACGTTGACGTTCAACAGCCAAAATCAAACCATTTTGTCTTTTAGTCTGACTGAACTTCTGTAATAAATTTGAAGAAATTCCCTCAAGGCGTTCTTGAGATATCATGTTTAACAGAATGGGATGGACGGACAACCCTGAAAACCTAATCCCTCTGACCACTGGGTGTCACCGCCACGGAGGCATAATACAATCAAGTATTTTTAAGAAAGAAGGAAACATAGAGGGTGTAAATGAATCACAACAACAATAGAAACCTTGACACCGTTTCAGCTGGTTGGTGAGAATTTTTCGAATCTCCCTCAGCCAGGCAACTTTGACCTCCACTGTGGGAGCCTACACACACACACACAAACACACAAATACAAAGAGAGAGAGAGAGAGAGAGAGAGAATACAGTAAAAAACTGGATGGAACAGAAGGAACAGAAAAATCAGAAAATCATTTACCTGAACAATATAAACTACTTCTCTTCCACTGTACCAGATCTCAAATTTCTTCACATCTCCTTTCACATTTTCTGTGATTCCAACTGCACTCATCTACAGAGAGAAAATGAATTGATTCCATCGTAACCTGAAACATTGACTGATTCTACACTGTTATTTTGATTACAAGCTGCAACCAAGCCTCCAAAATGACCACTTAAAGGTTCAGTGTGTAGAATTTAGTGACATCTAGTGGTGAAGTTGTATGTTGCAGCTGAATAACCCTCACCTCACCCTCCCCTTCCAAATATGAAAGAGAACCTGTGGCGGCCTCCGTACAGAGGACCACGCTCCTGATGTAAATATAAAGTATTTCAATATAAAGGGTCCATTCTAGGGTAAAGAAAACAACACGTGTGAAAACACACATGTGAAAACATCATGAGGATTATTTTATATTCAAATTCTGCCGATAGACCCTTTCACCTAAATCTTACACACTGAGCCTTTAAGTCTGTAAAAGCATCACAAAGGGAGGGTTTATTTTAGGGCTGTTGAGTTGCACTTATCTCCTAATAAAGGGCGTATATTGTGTATTTGTTACTCTGAGGCAGGATTTGAAGCTGTAGAAGGGCGTCCTGTCCTGGTTGTCCTCGTCTCTGCGCTTGCAGAAGAGCAGGGCATGGTCGTAGAGGAAGAGGTGTCTCTGCATGGGTTTGAACCGGGCCAGCTCCTTCATCCTTACCGCTGCCCTCTTGTGGCTGATCCACACGCTAAAGCCTCCCTGCATCACCATCCGGCCCAGCTGGCTGAGGTCACCCTGGGACAGACGGGCAGAGGAGCGACATGGACGACACTTCAAACATCAACATGAGTAGGAAGCTGCTTGTGATTCGTCACCCAACAGTATTGATTTCCAATGAAATGTAACAATGTGATTCAAGACTGCAGCTCAGTCTCTGAGGAATTAAATCAAGTTGTGCTTATTAGCAACTCAAGAGGCCTATTTTTTAATGTCATGATGTGTTTGTGAATTATGTGTTAATGCAAAAATGTTTTACTGATAAAGATAAAATAAGATTAGATGTGATGTTTTTTATTTGTCACTAAATAAAAATCTGAAATCTATTTTCGAGTTGCATCGCAGTTTTACATTTAATTAAAGAAAAAAGGTGCTAATAAACCAACTTTTATAAAAACTATAACTGTCGCTTCAGGTTTGATGACAAATTGCATTTCATTGTTTCATTGATTCAATGTCAATAAAATGAAACTGAATCTAATTTAACGGGAAAGAATAATTTTCTCCAAATTGGAAATAATAAAATGTAAACCTTCTCTCACAGTTTCCAAGTTCATAAAACTTCAGAGGTTAATTTATTACTTGTCAAAATCTGCCTGAGGCAACAGACGACAAAAGTAAATGGGAAATATAATATCGCAGATAACATGAGAAAATCACATCCAGACTTTCCACACTGCATTTAATACACAGCAGTCGCTACGTTGTTCTCAGAGCAAAGTGACGAGAGCTTGGATGGGACCATTGTTAATGAAAGCATAATGACAGAAATACATGGCATCCATCATATGTATCGATCAGAGCAGCTCGCACCTGATATCCAGTGATGGCGATCTGATGCATGGAGTCGTTGACAGACTTGAGCAGCTCCAGCATGGAGTCCAGAGCCTCCCGCAGCTCACAGCGGTATCGCTCCTCCGTACAGTGCTTCAGCAGCTCCTGAACGACGACAGAGATACAGGTTGACAGGTCCGAGGTTTTCATCTGATCTAATCTACAGTCGTCTGTCTTGATGTCCGCCAGCATGAAGCTCTACCCATACGTTTTATTTATTGCCTGTCTGCGACTCAACAAGTCAGTTTAGTCTGAGAAGATGGCGTCGATTTGTCTTTGTGGTCGTTTAAAACATCTACTCCTCATACGGGGGCTTATTTTTCTGTATCTCAGTGCCTCTTGTCCTAGTTATTGCTGTTTGGCTCTGTATTTCTTTTTTAAACAAAACCAATTTCTGAACAGACTCACTGACTCCATGGCTTATTTTTATTTTTAAATCTGCGTTAAACTAATCATCACAGCACTGACAGAGGCCAGACCAAGATATGCAGGCACAGTGAGCTTCATGATTATTCTCCCTTGTATCTCAAGTCCAAAATTCAACTCTACTTTCAAACATTTTATTTTATCCCTCAATTTGTACGATCAAGAGAAGTTCAACGAACGGGAGAAAGTTATAGAGAAATTTGAATGTTTTCCTCCCGGTGTTGATGATGGTGTAAAAATGTGTCAGTATTTTCTGAAATGATGTGTAAACTCAAAACACTTCAGAACATTCATGTCATTGTGTGAGATGTATTTCTGCAGGACCCTGCAACACTGACTGGCTCCGATGTACCTTGAGGAGCAGCTGGTACTTGGTGAGACGCTGGACTGGTTTCAGGAGGTAAGAGTCCAAACCCAGCTTGTGGTCCAGCTTCTTCTGGCACTCCTGCCAAGAGACAGCGAGAACCAGAGAGATTCATTAATAACGTTTTTTTGCTGCCTGGAAACACAAAAGGCTTCACTGTAAAATCAGAGGAAACAGTTTTGTAGATCAGGCGTGATCATATGAAATATACAGCGTGCAACCACCTGAAAAAAGGGGGAATCGGAGCACTGTCTCCATAGCAACTCAGAGCGCGGCTTGTTTTGGCAGTAACGCTCGTACACCTGGAACTTTTCTTTCTGCTCACAAACAGAAACACACACACACATATAATATGCACTTAAATGTGTCATGGTCATATCACTTCCCATTAATTCCTAATGGTTCCTGTCATGTTTCCTCACCCGCTGCAGGAAGCAAGCCCCCACTCGCTCTGGTGCCTCGAGGCAACTCTGCAGATCTTGAAGGAAAATCCTGAAGAAGTGGGAAGTGAAAGGAAATGGGATTGTTGTGAAAAAATAGGGAGACAAGGACAACTCTCCCACAGCTTGTGAGCTTTGTGTGTGTGTGTGTTTGTGTGCGGCTCGCCTGCTGTGGAACTGGTAAATCTCTGGCATGTTGCCGAACAGAACGTCCTTCTGGCTGCGCAGAGCAGACGGAAGAAGATAAGACACAGACGGGTCATCCATTTCTGCCCGGTAGCCCTGATGAGAGGAGAGGAGGAGTCATGGAAACAGAACTGGATAGAACAGGGACATTTGTGGTAGAAGTAGGAGCAGTTTTATCTTTTTAGGAGCATTGTTGTTTTTGTCATTCCTATAAACTCACAAACAGGGTGACTTTTTCCCAACAAATTCTGATGCTCTGCTCTGTAAACTTACAAAACCAATTTGCTTTAAAACAACCTGAAACACACTCACCAGAAGTACAGAGAGCAGCTCGTCTACATAGATCCTCTCTGTGGCGATCAGTTCCTTCATAATGTGGCTACAAACAGTGAGTATGATAAAAGAATTAGCAAAAATTCAATCTAAATCTAAGACGATTACACACATACAGAGAGTTTAGGTTTGAGATCACTGGACACACACCGTGTCACCTGCTCTGGATTGTCCTCCACCTCTGAGTCCGTCTCAGGATTGGAGCCATACAAACAGCTGCGGTTGCCTTGGTAATCGTGCATCACCTCGATCTGACAAAACACAAAATACAACCCTCTCAGCATGGACATGTTTAACAGCCGATTTATGGCTCATTTCAAAAGCCCATTACATTACACTGTAGATATTTTACTGTCATTAAAACTAACCACAATCTTTAGCTGGCTCGATAGGGATGGCTGAAAATATCTGACACATTCTGATTGTGATAAAAGTTGGAGCACACACTAAGTTCCCCAGACGATGTATCCTGCTGACTTATGGCCGACAGGTTTGCAGGAAATATACAGATTTTATAGAAATGTTTTAGTATTTTAAAAGCAACACAATAAATCAAAACGTCCTCCCCTCACATATCACACAAGTACCTTGCGCTGGCTGTTGTTCCTCCTCGCAGCTCTCTTTCCAGGAAGAAGGTCAAAGGAAAACTTGGAGTTCAGGACGTTCAAGTCGACACCTGCAGAGAGTTTGACAGGAAAAGATGGAACATGGGTTAAATTCCATGAGATGGTATTTAATTTCTATGATTTACACTCCAGATGATGGGATGAGACAGTTTTCAAAACAATATTTAACATGATTTTTCTTCCACTTCTAATTTCAGAACCCTGTGAAAAATCTGAAAACAAGCGAAACAGGCTTATTTTCATGAGAACTCAAAGAGGATAAGAGGTGGTTTAAGAAGCTCGTACCATGTTTCGGGGAGAAGAGCGGGGACTTGCAGCGTTGAGAGGTCTGGTCAGGCTCGGGCCTCGGGGCCACCAGCTGGATGGGTCTGACCTGCAAGTCCGCCAGCCTCCTCAGACACTGCTCTCTGTTTCTGATCATGGACTGCATGGAGGTCAGCTTCTCTGTCACCTTGGAGATCTGGGACTAGAGAGGTGTGAGAAGTGTAAGTTGAGGTGAGATTGTTACTCTGCTGTTTGTTGGTGTCAGTAGCTGTGGATCACCTGCAGCTGTGGAGTCAGTATGGCTTCAAACTCCAGGCTCAGGGTGTCTTGGCTGTTAGTCAGTGCGGACGGCGCCCTCTCCTGGTGACAGCTCAGGTACAGCAGCGCCTCCTGGGCTCCCTCTCTAGTTTGGAACTTGTCCACCATCTGACTCGCCAGCAGATAGGCTCCATCATCACACCAACGCAGCGCCTGCACAACAACAAAAGACACAACACTAGAAGAGATACGTGAAGGACTCGCTGAGATGTTTCTTAAAGGAATCAAAACAAAGAAGAAAGAAAAGATTCACCAGATGAACTTTGCAAATTGTCTTTGGAGGTTTTTGGTCTGTGGTTTTCTTTAAGGAGCAAATCCAAGATGCAGAACAGAGTGTGGTGGCCTTTTGCATATTTGAGAATGACTTTGTCTTTAACATTTTGATACTAGCATACAGGTTACAGGACCTGTGGTTCATGCAGAACCTACATTAACAACGATGCACAAAAGAAAAGGCCAGTGAAAACGGGAATGCAAAACAATCCATGATTCTTTGATTTTTATTTCACATGTAAATCTGTGAGCGTCACAGGGCATTTCTCACGTCCTCAAGGCGGTGCAGCAGGTCTCTTGCTCGGGTGAGCGAGGCCCGCTTGGTGCGTATGGCGGTGGTGATGACATCACAGTGATGTCGCAGCTCGTTGCAGTGCTGGACGATGAGCGCCAGAGCGTAGTGGTGATTGGCAGCCAACTGGTGACCGTGCAGGATTACCACATGGGCACGGGCCATCTCCTCCTGATAACACACACACACACACAGACACACAAACATCAAGGTTTTGGTTTCAAAATGAACTAAAATTCAACTAAACTAAAAAAAATGTATAATTAAGTGAAATCTTGCAACTTTTAAATGTTCTTATAGTACAAAATGTAGATTTCCAAGCAATGAAAATGTTGCATCAAACCCATTTCGGCCACTGTTGTGTGTGTGTGTGTGTGAAACCTGCCTGAGCGTGCTTGTCCAGCGTCTCCAAGTCTTTCAGCAGTTGTTCTGTTTGAACCAATGTGGTTCCAACAGAGGAGATCTCCTTCTCCTGGGCAGAGAGTCGCTCCAGGACCTCCTCCATCTACGCACACACACACAGCTTATTGTCACAGCAGCGTAACAAAGAGTAAACACTGACGTGGTTCTTCACAGACGGGGACAGGCACCAGCCATCACACCTGCTGGAAACTGATTTCATATTGCAGCAGCTGGAGGTACTGCTGCAGCTTCAGGTGATGTTTCTCAAAGAAGCCATCAAACGCCTCCTCCATGTCTCTGAGCTGAGCCAGGAGCCTAAAACAAGCGCACACAAAGTTACAAGCAAGCTGTGTACATCCTCTCATCTACTGTATATACCTTTCCTTCAGTACCATGTGTATTCACTGACAAACATGTGGCCCAGTTCATTTCTCTATAGAATATATCTAAAAATGACCTGAGCTCTTGTGTTGATGTTGCAGTGTTCACATATACTCCACTGTACCTCTGAACAGTGTCCATATCTGCCTGTATTTCCCTCTCCTCCTCTGCGTCTCTCTTGGAGGCCTTGAGAGTTTCCAGGTTGGACAGCAGCAGGCGTCCTTCTTTCAGCACACCGCGGATATCGTCCTGAAACCACGACAGAAGGGCAATCAAAATCGGCAGTTGCACAAAGAGCAAATGTAGAAAACTGAAAAACTGTCAGAGGTAGAGAGCCAGAGAGACACTGACCTTCATCTGTCGATACCGGTGTGTGTGTGAGTTCAGCAGGAACTCGATGGCGTTCGCTTCATCTGGAAGTTCGGTCTCAGAAAGCTCAGATCCAAAGCCCTGAAGCAGCTGAGCAATCTCCTTCACTGTCACCGCAAAGGTCTCAATGGACTGCTCACACACACACACACACACACACACACACACACACACACAAAGCCATTCTGAACATTTCTATTTCAAATTCAACAAAATGAAGAAGAGCAGGGGAAATCCTCTCACTTTACATCAAGATGGAATTCTCTCACTGACTAAACATGGATCACAGTTCTTTAGAAGATGCAACGCTTCAACAGCAGTTCGTAGTCATTCAGAAGCACTGATTGTGGTTAAGTTAAGTTTGATTTCTTGCATTTCATCTCTTTAGTCCAGAGTGGGCATCTCCTGTTAACACACAGCTTTAACCGACAGTAGAGCAGCCTTAGAAGTTTGTACCGTGCGAAGGACGATCCAGTCACTTTGGCAATATTCCACTTTTGCAGTAAAGTCTGACGTCAGGTGGTTTTCATCGATGTAGCGCAGAAGTTCGCCAACTGAACGCAGCATCACCACCTGGAGACAGAGGGAAACAAGGCATCTCACAGCCGCACACAAATATATGGTACCGTGTTTGACATTTTAACCTCTGCAGTCGGCCTCTTCACACATTGGTAACATAACTATATTTCTATATAAAAGTACAAAGAAAAAAATTTAAGAAAAGTAGTTAGTTTAAAACGAATTACTGTAAAACTATTAAACAAATTTACTTTCAATACAAAATTAAAGAAAAAAAACATGCAATAAAATGATATATGTAAATAAACGGTATTATAGTTTTATTGCTTGTATTTATTTGTTGCATTTGTGTGTATAAATACTGAAACAATATGTTTTACATTCTTGAAATGAAGTAATATTTTGAGTAATTATTTCTTGTAAAGATATGTCATTTTTCTTTTGTTTTGGGTTCCTGACAGTTTTATATTTTGTTACATGTTAATTGATAAAATGAGCTGTCAGACTTAAAGCTGGGTTTGATAAGATAAGACTAATCCTGAAGGACACTCTTGTGCCATCTTGCCCCAAGATTACAGAACAGGACAATTATATAAAGTAGAATAGAATACAGTGAAGAAAAAAAAAACACCATAAAGAATTAAGAATTACGTACAAACGTTTGAGAAAAAAAAACGAACAATCTTGTCACCAGAAGGTTAACAAATAAAACTTGTAAATTAATGTATATTCCAATAAAACAACGGAGAGAAGAGAAGAGAAGAGAAGTCTTACCGGCATCTTTAACAGGAAGTCATCCTGGCTGAAGCGAAAGCCCAGGTCAGTGCTTGAGGACGGACTGTGGGCAGAGCTTAACAAGCTGTTGGGGTGGAGCACTAAGACCAAATGCAGGTTGCCTGGAAATGAGGTCTGAAAGAGGAAGTGTGATGTTGTAATATTATCAGATGCTGTGAAGACAAAGGAGCAGAGGAGGAGTCGTATTTAAAGCTCCCCCATGTTTTTAGAGACAACTACTAGACAATCTCGAGTTCATTTATGGTTGAATCAATGACATTCATAGCCACTAGATGTCACACTTGCACTAGCATCTCAAACCAGAAAAAACTGCAGAACACAGACTGTATATAAAGACGACATGACAGCACCAAAGTGAAGCCAAATTATCTTCATCACCCCCTGGTGGCTGACTGGAGAACAGGTCATAAACCTGCAGCCTCCATGGTAGCATATGGGACACGGACACAAGGCTAAAAACTACACCCCAAAATATTTATTTATAGTAATCTTATCACACTGATGTATACATGTCCAAATAATACAAATCAAGCTCCTGTCACACATTTTGATGACTAAGTGTGTGATTTCTACTTTGCTTTGCTAACGCTTGCACCAATCATATATATAGTACATGTACAATGGCATTAATGAAGTCAACCTAACATTGTGGATAAATCCCCCAACACACTTCTGTACTATAAGAGAAGATAGTGAGGAAATAAGAGGAGTGTGTCAGTCAGTCAGATGTGATGTTGACAGCTGACTGGTGTTAGTCGTGGCTTCTGGCAAAGCTCAACACAGCATCAGCATCTCTCTGTGTCAATCTGGGAAGTGTCTGGCTCTCTGCAGCACTTGAGCAGGTCGGACACTCGGCCCCCCACTGACTGACTCAGCTCCTCTGTGACTCTCTTCATTATCAACAGTCCTGCCTCGTGTGTGCTTGCTTGTACCACAGACTGTATTCTTCTTCCTATGTGAACACAAAGCTGGCATTACTTTGTCAGTTGTCAGTATTCAAGAAGTGTTTGTAGCTCTATTTTTATTTATTACTGAAGCACCTAATTTGCTGGATGTGCAGGAGATCAATTCCAATGTTTATTCTGTTTATCCTTTAAGTTACAGAGGGGCTCCAACTCCAGCAGACTCAAGGGGCAGGGAACACTTCCAGTCTATCACAGGGCGCAAACAAACATCCACACCTACAGGCAGTGCAGAGTCTTCAGTTGACCTATCACCTGCATGTCTTTGGACTGTGGAAGGAGGCCGGACAACCTGGAGAAAACCCACTCACATGCAAACTCTGTGAAATCACCGCTGTGCCACTGTGCCGTCCTCATCTTAGAGTTGCAGTGTCTAATAGTTGGAATACACACTTAATAAGAAAGATTAAAACCCAGCTGTGTTGTGTTGACCTCTAAAAGCCTTTTAGATGCAAGAAAAGTCAAGAACATTTCAGTTGTGTGCAGTGGAGGTTATACATGTACAATACATGCAGGTATGAGGCCTGGACGACTGAGAATCTTTACAGACACTGAGCAGATCACCAATCATCACTCTTTAGTCACCTGCTTGACACAGTTTTCCAGTCGTCTCTATCTCCTCTCCTCCAGAACCGCCCACACTGTTTTTTCTCAAAAGTTTTTTTGCACAGATCTTTTAGCTCGAGGGGGTTTTAACCACGAGGGCGATTTATAAACTTGATGTAAACCTCTCCCACGCTATAATTTGTCAAGCTTTGTCATCCACTTGCAGAAACAAGGATACATATATTTCAGCACACGTGGACTCCAAACTCCAACAGCTCTGTGTACAATCACAATACACTGACCTCCAGACACTGTTGACCCGAACAATACTTTCTCCCCCAGCCACCTTCATTTCAACAGTGGCCATTAGCACAATACTAATGTGCATGATGAATATTTGTCACAATGCACCTTTACTTGGACTCATGTAGCAGCCATGATGGATGCAGTTAGGTGATTTCAGTCTGCTCAGGAGATCTGCATTAGACGTGTGAGTATTAGACACATACTCCCAAAGCAGTTACGTAAAACTGCACAACTTGAACACATAGTTACAGACTGCAGGGCCAGAGCTGCTATGTACCTGCAGTCACAGTCCAAACACACACAGACACACACAGACACACACACACAGTTGTCATTGGCCCGTCCTGGTCCCCTCTCAGACTCTTAACACTGAATCTGAGCCTGACCAGACTCTTGCAGCCATGTTAAATATCTGCAGCACTCAGATCCCCTCCAAGCCTGTGTGTGTGTGTGTGTGTGTGTGTGTGTGTGTGTGTGTGTGTGTGTGTGTGTGTGTGTGTGTGTGTGTGTGTGTGTGTGTGTGTNTGTGTGTGTGTGTGTGTGTGTGTGTGTGTGTGTGTGTGTGTGTGTGTCGCAGCCCTGACAGAACCAGCTCTCTCCTCCTCTCTCCTCCTCTCTCCTCCTCTCTCCTCCACTCTCCTCCTCTCTCTCTGCTGCAGTATCCTCGCTGCGCTGTTTGGAGCCTCCCTCCTCCCACCTCCCCTCCCCTCGGTGGAGCTTACCGCGGCCCGGCGCAGACGGGGGAACCCCCGCAGCGGGTTGGACTCGGCCATGGCTTGTTCTGCTGTTCTCCCCCCGGTTGTTCCTCGGAGTCTGCGGCGGGACGCGGTGCGTGTCGGGAGCGAGCAGCGGTGGCACGGTCCCCTCCACTGCAGTGTCCGGGCGGGCCGAACGGCGCGCTCAGTGCGCACTGAGCCGCTTCTCCTCCGGAGCAAGGACGATGGTGGGGTGTGTTCCACTCACCTGACGTCAAAGACAAAACTCAGTCCTCCGCTGCAAAGCACCGAGTCAGGGAAGTTACCAGGATGAACTATGGATTCATTATTGAATCCAGTCTGTCCAGAGCAGAGTTAGGAACCATGGAGATCTGCAGTGAATGTGAAAAAGTGACTTGTCCTCGCCTCTCTGGATTGAACTTGGGTTTCTGCCTCTTCTTGTTTCATTTAAAGATTGAGACTGCACCACACACTGCACTTTCCAATGAGAGGTGGACTGAAGCGTTTACTGGATCCGCTAGATGGCGCTTGAAACTCAGTAGCTGCTGAGGAGCCACCTCTGGCTTCACCTTGTGGAGTGGGCAGATTAAAGGGATAGTTCACCCAAAAATGAAAATTCATTCAATATCTACTCACCACTATGTCGATGGGGGAGGGGGGGTGAAGTGTTTGAGTACAATTGTACTGGGGAGAAAAAAACACATGACATGCCTCCGCACTGCTCCTGTGGCGTCATCCAAGTGTCCGTAAGCCCCGACATTCATGTTTGACTCGAAATGGCTTCACCCTATCCCATTAACCCGGGAACCAGGGCCTTTGTAAAGAGTTAATATTGTTGGGTCCCTGTTGATGAGACAGAGGATATGTTAAAATAATATAATCATGTTCATACAGCTGCATTTTGAGTTTTGTTATATTCATATTTCATGTTGTCCAAATGAGGTGGATTATGTCCATGGAATAAACAGGAGGTTTCTCTGTGTTTTTGTCAGAGTTTTCTTCCCTAACATCAGTTTAAGTGAAATCAAATGATGGATATCATTGCCTGTTTTTATATTCCGTATGTTTGAATGAAATATTTTGATGAAGATGAACAACCCACTGATACGTTCAGATAAAGCTCGATCAGACCAGTGTTTCTGCAGTCTAAACATGACCTTTTCTTATTCGGTCATGTGTTCAGTGAGGCCGAGAGCCAGAGAAGCCGTACAACTTCCTGGAAACAATTTGTGCAGTAGACAAAACAATGATTAGTATGGAGGCAACGTCACATGTTTGAACTTACTTTTAATGTTTTATTTTAACTTCCCCGGAACACAGTAGACCGGATTAGACTTTGTTTCCCTTTTTTAAATCAGTGGCTACACAACACTTCATGCGCAGCTTTGATATTTTGATTTGAGTGATCCATCTGCTCACCGTGACTGGAGTCCAGCTGAGGCCTTTACTCACATCACATTAACTGTTAAATAAGTTTAATATTTTTGTCTTATTTTATTAAATTGTCTTTTTGAAAACATCATCTAGTTGGTCACTTCCTGTAGAGTATGAAATAATTCAGTTTTACCTTGTTCTCTTACCATCACAGCCCAAATAAGGATCCAGTCTCTGTATCCAACATAACCTCTATTTATCAAAATAATCATCTGATGATCTTAAAGGTCAAAGGGCGTTCTGCTTAATCTCCAGCATGCTACTGAGAAACAGTTGGATAAGTCAGCTTACTTTGACGTTGCCGGCGGTGCTCCCATCATCCCCAACATAAGAGGAGGGAATCCTTAATCTGCCAAGATCAGACAGGTTGAGAATTTCCACACTGCAACAAGACCTGAGAAGATGCAGCTGTTGATTTACCATCACCAATAATAATACTAATAACGGCTTTTGTGCATCATTTATACAATAGCAAAGAATTCTCTCATTCGCTGGCAGGAGAAATGTGATTTATGTATCGATCTATAATAATAGTAAGATTGATAATAATAATAATAATAATCAGATTATTAATACAGACAATAATATTGATAACAACAGACTATTAATATAACTCTTTTCTTAACGAAGTTACAAGGTGCTCAAAAAATGGGATTTAAATGAACAACCATTTACACAAGAGAAATCAAACAGAGGGGAATAAAATTAAGTAACACAATGAAGCAAAATACCATGTCAAACATTATCAAAAGGTTCTGATAAAATATTTTTTAAGAAGAGATACTACAGATGTTTCCTGTGCTATCGCAACCACTTCATAGTTTTGGATCTAACAGTGAAGGCCCTGTTACCCAAATAACCATCAGAGCTCCATCCACAGAGCCACATGAACACTGGCACATATGGAGGGTAATAAGTCCTTAATGTAATGAGACTATTTATTGCTTTAAAAATGATGCAAAGAATTTGGCAAGAATGGATTCATTGCTTGGTGTCTGGAAACATCGGGGCAGCAGTGATTCCCACCAGCTGGAGTCAGGGAAGTGATAATAAGTGATTGTGGTTGTGCATCTGCTGGTCAGACCTTCTTTCGTGGCCAATTGTGCTGAAGTTCTTAAGAAGGCTCTCGCGTCTTTGCCTTTGGAAGGTTTTAGCAGGCCTGCTTGAAGTTGGTTCACAGATACCAGGTCCCAACATTCTCAATTAAGTACGAGCTCACAAATAGATCAGGCTAATAATAGCAGTTCCAAAGGCTAATATTAAACAACACAATAACCTTCTGTCACGACACGTCCAAACTAAATCACAACAATACCTCTCGAAGAATTGATTTTAACATACAAAGACCAAGATTTATTTTCCACTCTGAATTAAAGGTGACTTTTTTGGATTGTTTGCTTTAAGGAGATGCGGGTGGGGATTATCAGCCTTCTACTACCTCGGCCATGTGTCACGTGCAGTTGTGTAGTCTGTCCCTGTGATTTAGCTGGCTGGTATTTTTAAACCCTTTGTAGTCCAAAAAGGACACCAGCTGATTCCTTAACTAGATTATGAGGCAGTAACAACCGGGTTAAATCCGAATGATGCACAGAGTAAGACTGCACGTATAAAAAGGGACATCGACTGTTGCGGAGCACACTCTCAACTCACCCTGACACACACTCCACCAAGATCCCAGACCACTGAGGAGAGGTAAGGATGGATGGATGATGGATGGATAGAGGAAAGATGCTCTCTAACTTTTCACTTGCCACCTGAAATGCTTTTTTTTATCATATTATGCAGATTAGGAAAAACTATGGAATCATATTTATTAGATTAGATTAAAGATGATGATGGTTGATTTTAATAAATGAGCTGAAACCACTGAGTTATATTACACCCACATGTGGGCAGTCACCCTAATTCTATTTTTAAATGTATTTAATCATAAGCCTGAAGAGTCTCTAAAAGGGCTTCTACAGTCACTTTCTGCTCCAGATAATGTTTAGGAGAGAGAAATGTGATGGGTGAATCGTTATACCAGCCAGACCACAAGAGTTAATAGACCTTTGTTGTTCTACCATAGATTAAAGCCACATTAAATATTCATGGAGGTTTGACAGTTAAATGTTTTTGCTGCACTGATCAAGTGAAACCCTGAGTCAGAGGTTTAAGTGCAGCCAGAGAATAGATCAGTAAAATACACAAACCAACACATTTTAGTGGTTTGTTTGAAGACAAACTGGTTTAAGGAGAGAATCGAGTTAAGTTTCTAAAGTTCCAACAGCCATCGTTGTTTCTGCTAAACAGAAATAATTACAATGATTAACATGTGTAAACACAGTGGTAATATTATTCTACTGAACAGACAAAGCAAAAACTTAAAGAGTTTATATCTAGTTTATTATTATTCAAAACAATCAGCCACAATATTAAAACAGGATAAAGGTTTTAATCAGTCAGATTCAATGCCTTACTGCACAGACTAAAGTGCAGGTCACATTTAAAAACAACAGGAGACATGATCTATTCTTTGACTTAACCAAACTCTGAAACCGTGGAAAATAACTAAAGCCCATGTTCCTATCTAATCTACAGGTTCCTGCTTCACCTTTCTCCTCCCTGCAGTCACACACCAAAATAGTCTCTGTGCATAACACTGCAACTTTTTCAACTTTAAAAACAGGAAAACGCTGAATATTTCTCTGTATATCTCTTAATCTTTTTCCAGCAAATAAAAAGACTAGTGACTCTTTGATTAGTTAATCACCAATTCCGAGATATGTCATCTAATTTCTATAGTGTTCATCAATTGAGTCAATGTCCAGACTCAAATTTTCATCATGTAATCAGATCCCCCAATGTTTGATACGTTCACCAAACTTTATTTTGCTGTTACATTCATATAATGTCTACTTAGTGTTTAACCTGTGTCTGTTACGCTTCAAGTTGAGGCTGTAAGCATATGTAAATCAAATGTAAATCAAATGAAAGAAGTTTTTAATTGATGTATTAAGTTATTCAGGTAAATATTGTACCAGATTCACATATATGAGACCAAACAGTCAAAGGAAAGTCAGTGTTTCCTGCCAAAGTAAATAAAGAAGCACAAATCTGTGATGAACAACCGAGAATCAAACGCTTGCAGCTCTTTTAACCTTCCTGTTATAATCCACATTACACAGTCACTGTATTGTGGGGCTGCTGTCAGGACTTAATGTCTCCTTTCCATTTAACCATCCATGAATAGTCCACTCAGTTACCAGATTTGGCACCGCTGAGGAACACACTGTGTGACATAATCATGAGTGCGATGTAAATCTGTCCTAGAGTTTGGCGTGAGGCAGGTCTGTCGTATCGTGGGGGGGGGGGGCAGGTAGCAAATACAGAGTAACAGATAACGGCTTTGGCTCAGGAGCCTTTACACTGATGTTGTAATCTTATCCCACCAGATTAACCTACCATACCCTCCTAAACAAAACATCGCTCCGGCTGCCAGAGAGCTGACAGCTAGTGAGGGATAATGACTTAATCGCAACCTGTGATTGATGCGGCACATGTGACATCCAAGTGACCTAATATTCATCACCTCTTTTTCTTTTCTCACAGCAGAACACTTTCCAAGATCCTCCAAAGATGGCGAAGTAAGTGCTGAAATCCTTTTCTTGGATTCTTTCTTTCCCCAAAAGCAGTTTTTCAGTAGTGCCTCAAACTACTTCAAACTGAAAAATATAAGTTTGAGACAAGATGAGGACATGTAGGCCTGTTTTTGTTTTTATCATGTCACCATTTTCACTGCAACTTCCCTCACTTAGCATCCAGTGTACGGAGATTGCTCTGTTGGAATGAAAAAGAATTGAAACTCTGACACAAAAAACAATTTTTCACCTTGTAGTTTATTGTCACAGATTTCGACCGGGGTCAGCCAACTCCTCTGGGAGTGACAAGCAGTTTTAAAGTGTTTATTTATGGTTTTGTAAAGGCTTAGTCAACCAAGTTGTGTCGATAAATGTGTTCTCAGACAGTAGAACAGGTAATGAGCTATTTAGGATCACACTGGTAATCAGCTATTTGGGAACCCTGCTACTCCATTTGTGGCTCCGTCACCTGGGCCAGCCTCTCTATCCGGGCATGATGAGCTAAAGCTGCTCCACACTTAGGTTTTACTAACTGGATAAAAGGGAATAAGGGATTAGAGGCCCTTCTGTTGCTCACCAACCTCCTTTACCTTCAGGTGAACAAATCATTATTTCATCTGGTTAATCCAGTCAGTGATTCAGTCACCGGACATCTACTGCCTTTGCTTTAGTTAAACAAGAAGTTATGCTACTAAATTCAACTTTATTCATAAATATTACAACAATCACTTCTGATAGCTAAAGTATAGAAATAATCATCATCATCATCCTCTTCATCATCAAACATTGAAAGATACATGTCATAAACAGATGAACTAACAGAGTAACGCAAGTGAAGAGATGAAGTGTTTTTATATTTTTCTTTTCAGGCCTCATGTCCTCTTAAAGTCAATCAAGCTGCACCAAATTAAACACTCATATATATCAGCCGGCTAAATATGTCAGATTTTTTTGTGAAAATTTCACAATGTTGAACAAAGTAGTACATAAATTCCTGGATCAGCCCATTCGTGCGGGTTCTTTCTTGGCCCATGTCCCATCCTTCCACTGAGACTCATCTGTTTGGTAGCTTTTGCGTAATCTTGCTGAGAATACAAACAAATTGACAGGTGCGAAAACGTGTGAGATAATATGGAACCCTAACCCAAAATAAATTAAACACAAATACCATTAATGTGTTTTTTTACTTGCAGAGTTTTCAAGAAGACGAGTGGAAACGGAGGGGTAAGTCTACATTTATTTTTCTGTACTGAGTTTTACCCTTGTTTTGATTTGTGTTTGATTTGCCATCACTGGAAAAATTGTGAGTTCAGAATCACTCAGCTGGTGTCCCTTCCTCCTGTCTCACAGCTGACCCTCTACCTGGGGAAGAGAGACTATGTGGACCATATGAACAAAGTGGACACAGTTGGTATGTTCCTACTACAACGTGTGCGTGTGTGTGTGTGTGTGCAGCTGCTTGAGGGTGATACATTTCACATAATCTGTAATATTATTACCCATACAGATGGTGTTGTGAAGCTGAACCCAGCAGATTTTGCAGACAGAAAAGGTAACATCTGCAATAATTTCACTTTTAAAGGTTCAGTGTGTAGAATTAAGTGACATCTATAGGTAAAGTTGCATGTTGCAGCTGAATACTCCTCATCTCACCCCTCCTTCCCAACATGAAAGAGAAGCTGTGGTGAACTTCAGTTGTCATGAAAACTCAAAAGGTTTTAGTTTGTCCAGTTTGGACGACAGTAAAAAACATGGCGGCCTCCACAGAGAGGACCCCCCTCCATTTAGATATGACGTTTTTAAATATGAAGGGCCCATTCTAGGGTCAAGAAAACAACAATTCATACAATTTAGATGATTACACATCAGTGAAAACATCATGAGGATTATTTTATATTCGATTTCTGCCAAAAATCCCTTTCACCTAAATCTTACACACTGAACCTTTAAATAAATATAAATATCTTCCCAAATCTCGATTGGCGAGGCAGGATAAAATAATAAGAGATTAAATCTACAAACATGTGTTGACAGTGTATGTGCAGCTGGCCTGTGCCTTCCGTTATGGCAGTGATGATCTGGACGTGATGGGCCTGTGCTTCAGGAAAGACATCTGGATCCAGCACGTCCAGATCTACCCAGAGAGCCACAAGCCCGCTCTGAGCCCCATGCACGAGACGCTGCTGAAGAAGGCTGGGGACGATTCGGTCCCCTTCTCGTTTGAGGTACGTGTCAGGTTACAAAGAATCAACAGCCTGGTCGATCGGTGCTTTTATGGCCACAACACCATCAACTGTTAAAGATCTTATTACATCAAAAAGAACATTTTAAACTTGACGTTGTGACTGTGAGCCACCATGGCATGTTTCTTAAACCAATAGCTTTAATATAGGTGTATTCATAATTAAAAATGAATTGATTAAATCAGAGAGAGATCATATATTCTACATAATCCTACAATTCACATGATGAAATGAAATTTAGGGTCTAAAACATTGGCCGGAAAGAGGTTGATAAACTGAAAATATGCTTTAGTTTGTGAGTAATCAAATCAAATAACTCACATGTATTTCTCTCCAGATTCCCACCAACCTGCCGTGCTCAGTCTCTCTGCAGCCTGGGCCTGATGACAAGGGGAAGGTATATTTCCTTTTGATTTGGAGACACCATTCCCCTTTACAATAAAATAATTAGCGTCCCATAATGTTAGTGCATAGGCAGGCTTATTAACTGATAAGATTTGTTTTTTGCTCTGCAGGCTTGTGGCGTTGACTTTGAGGTGAAGACTTACCTTGCCAAGGACAGGTGCGACCCTGACGAGAAGATTGAAAAGAAGTGAGTGCCGTCATTTCCACTGTGTCTTTGTGTTCATTCATCTTTTCAGCGTCAGTGTTATTTTTCTGTAAAACTAACATGTTCTCTACTCTGTCCTCTCTTCTTCACCTGCCATGTCTACTTCCTCTCTGTGCCCCACTCTGTCTGACAGGGACACTGCCCGCCTCATCATTCGTAAAGTCCAGTTTGCTCCCTCTAAGGTGGGCGCCGGGCCCAAATCTGAGATCTGCAAAAGCTTCATGATGTCCGACAAGCCTGTTCATCTAGAGATTTCGATGGAGAAAGATGTACAGTGGCAAAACTTCATCTTTAAAAAAACTGAACACTTTTGACTAGGGGTTGCACAACTTCGTAATTGCTGATGAAGTCATTAACAAAACCACAGGAGGAGAGGCAATGAATACCCTGCACAACCTTTTTATAATGTCAATTGTCAATCCAGCCCCGTCCCTGGACCTTGAAAAAAGTGATTTTACCATATTTTTGTTGACCTTTGACAGATAAGCTCCAAAAGTTAATCAACTGGAGATCTCCTCCCAAGAAATATTCTCACCAATCTTGATGAAAATCCATCTGTGAATATTTGAATTGTTGTGTACAAACACACACACACATACAGCTTGGCTGTGCAGCCCCTGGTTCAGACATGGAGCAGGTTAACCATGTGGCCGTCCTCCATCATCATCGTGCTCTCATCTTGTTTTGACCACAGCTCTACTTCCACGGTGAAACAATCCCAATCAAAGTCAAAATCAACAACGAGAGCAACAAAACGGTCAAGAATATCAAAATTACTGGTGAGTCCCTGTTTGTAGAAGTAACATGTCTGATACCAAGAGAAACAAAACAAATATTTTGTTTCACTCTGTCTGTCTGTCTTCGTTCAGTGGACCAAACCACAGACATCGTCCTCTACTCAGCAGACAAATACACCAAGGCTGTTCTCGTCAAAGATTTTGGGTGCGTAGACAGAACTGAAAGTACTGAAGTCACAGCACGTATCAAACACCACGTATCACAGGGGCAGTGAGAGAAGAGGTGTTCATGTGTGGGTTTGCTTGTGTCCCTCAGAGAGACGGTGGAATCCGGCAGCACCTACGAGAACACGCTGTCCATCACCCCTCTGCTGGCAGACAACAAGGAGAAACGAGGTCTGGCACTGGATGGACGACTGAAGGACGAGGACACCAACTTGGCCTCCTCCAACATGTAGGTGCACAAACACAGCAGGGCTGACTGACGCAGGATTTACCTGTAACTCGCTCAGTTGGTGCTGGACAGTGTGGATATTCATGGAATCATCTCCTCTGTGATGAACAACTTTGCGCACGTGATCCCACTTTTCACTTTTAGATTTAAAGTTTTTTTTTTCATTGCATGTCGCTCAGTGTCCGTGATGTTTTGTCGTGTTTGGTACACGCAACTAAATTAAACCTCCTAATCCCTCAAATCTTTTAATTCGTCTTCACCACAGGCTGGGACAGACTGTCGAAAAAGAGGTGCTGGGAATCCTGGTGTCCTACAAGATCAAAGTTAACCTCATGGTGGCCGGAGGAGGGTAAGTTTAACACCTGAAATCTCAATTCATGATAAAATGGTGTGAAATGAACCTAAACAACCTTTTGTCCCTCTTGTCTTCATGTAGCCTGCTGGGTGGTCTCACTTCCAGGTGGGTACTATCCATTAACTATTATGTCCCAGATCATTTACACTGACTTACCAATTAACTCTGATTCTGATTGGTTGATTTGTTTTTTCCTGCAGTGATGTCACAGCCGAGCTGCCACTGCTGCTCATGCACCCCAAGCCTGAAGGTATCTTTAAGATAAATAACCGCACAGTGTATTACTGCCTCCAGTGGAAGCTCGCAGTTTCTAACGATTTCACTTTCTCATCCTCCTGTTTTTCTTCCTTTCACATCAACCTTCACAAAGCTGAGTAAAGGCTGTGAATCAGTGTAAGTGTCACATCTCTGTGTTAACACCATCAGCTAGAAATCACATGTATGAAATTCATTGTACATGTTACTCAGTAAATAAATCGATTTAGAGGTAGATTTTTTTTTTATTAGACAATAATAATCTGCTTTATTAATCATTTGTGCATGTTCTTTCTTTTTTCAGTGTCTTGAAAGAAAACTCCCCCATAGTCAAGGTGAGACTGAAGCCCTGTCTGATCTTTTATTCAACATGTACCAGTAGTGAAAAGTAATTTACCCAAGAGAAGTACTGTAGTATGATTTAGAGGTACTTTTATTTGACTTTTTCTGAGAGACACATTTTACTTATTACACAAATACCTTAATTTAATAATTTAATTTAACTTTGTGCCAGTTACTTTGCTGAGTATTAATACAAAATTTAATCAAAACAAAATAAAAGACGTGACATTATTGATACAGGATGTGAAGGAATTAGCTCCATCTATCAGCTGCAGTGACACTAAAGTGACTTATACACTTAATTTTGAATTTATATTGAGAATCAAATAAGGTTATGTATGTTATTCGGTAATGAGCCATTTTACTTTGGATTTTTGTATTGGGCTGCTCTCAAGTTAAATGTTCAAACATACTTTTACTCATAGCTAAGTATTGTATACACAGTGGTATTGCAGTTGTCATTGTTATTGCTTATTGTCAAAATGATCTATAACTAAAAGGGTTATAAGAAATGAATAGTAGAATAGTAGAAGGTTTATACCATTTAAAGAGGTTTTTCATTTCATAGAAGGCAATGGTAAATAAAGTTCAGGGATCATTCATGTGATAATTTATTATTGCTTTCAGATAATTGTGTTGATTTTCAACACATGCAGAAAACCTCTCTGTGTGTTTATTTCTTTTCAGAGTTTCCCTGGAGGTTGAGAAGGAACCCACCTACAGACAGGAAGACGAGGACAAGCAGCAAGACAGAAAGAAGCAGAGGACTCTGACATAAACAATGTAATGAAACCAAATAACAAAAACCGAGCAACTGAAGACAAGGACCTCAAGGATACTCGTAACCTCTGCCTCCTCACAGATTGTTTTAAATGTTTAATTGAAGTAATTTGGCGTATAGAGCGTACTTGGATATCAATGTAGTACCCCACATTTTGTGACCAAAGCCTTGTGCATAGAAACACACACATAAATGTAACAAATAAATATCATTTTCACCTCTCTTTAGAATATTAGTGAGGGAAGGTGAACAATCAGATTGAAGCCGATAAATGTCAGTGTGATATGGATTAGTGTGGTAAGTGGTAAACTCCTCTATTGTTTTGAATGATACCTTTTTTTCTGGGAAATGTACTGGTTTCTTTTTTTGGGTGTCAAATCACCCAAAATACAATAAAGTTATTTTAAAAACAGAGTTTGTTGGTTTCTTGTGAGTGTGTTGCTACTGACGTGTGACAGGGGCCCTAAAAAGCCTGGAATCAACTTTTAATGTTTTTAGCCCTGAGCCCCAATATTTGTGATTTATTCCTGATAGGCTACTTCCTAACTTCTTCTGAATGGAAAATGTACTTTTCCTGAGTGGAAAAAATAAGTTTGAACATTTGAGAGAAAGGTATTATGGATACTACTAGCTTTTTCCCCTGGGAGATAAAAAGAAAGCAATATGATGTTTGTACAAACCAGCGTGATCAACCCCTTCGTATGTGTTAAATTCTTTATCTAGATAGAGAAATGTTTTGGAAATGTGCCAGCGATGGTTGAACAACACTGTATACAGATGATGATGCAGTTCATACAGATAAATATAAAGATCCAAATACAGGAAGAACATTACTTACCTTCTTTATAAGAAAAACACCTTGTTGTTTTTACATTAACAGGTAAAGAAGTTCCCCAGATCTTTTTAGGTTCACCACAGTTGTTCCCATCCCAGACCAGACAGAACATGTGACACATTATTCATTATTCAAATTATGAGCATATATATTATTTATGTGGGTTGCTGCTCATGGTGGAATTAAATGGCAGATATATTAAACAGAAGAAAAAGAGAGAGTGGAACAAAAAAATGTGATTTAGCAAAGGAGAAACAAATGGTGCAGCAATTAAGACTGATAATGTGACTGGGCGACATTTTATGCAACTCAGAAAAAGAGGAACATGGGGCAAAAATAATAGTACTACCTATCTACTTGATAAACAACTGGTTGGCACGCGCATATCAAAAAGAGAAGTTTTAGGCTGTGTATTATTTTTATGAGAGATTTTTAGAGTCCAGTATAGAATGAATCTTCAGCTATGCTTTAATTTAACATCAAAGATGATTAGGATTAAGCAACACATGGATTCATAAAAGGTAATTTACTCATTTGTTTAATTTACAACTGTGGTGAAATAAGTGGTATTATTGCATTAACCATGTGACAAGGCTGCCAGACCGTCACCATTACTGCCTATATTTATCTTTATGTGATTTTATATTTTCTATATCGCTATTCTTGTATTTTCAGTTTTACTGCTCCACTGTTCCCTTTTTTTTTAACTACACTTACATTTGTTGTACCATAATTTGTACAGGTTATGTTAGTCTAATGCACAACTTTGTATAACTTCAGTTTCTTATCTTTAAATCTGTATTTATATTTGGCTTCAAAACTTTGCCTCTATTACTTGTGTCTTTGAATCAGCTTATACCTCAAATATTTGTATCTTCAATATCTCCACTAGCACATTTTTAGTAGTTCTGGTGACTAGACTAGATCTCACTGCAGTGAAGTCATTCTTGAATCATTTTGACTCATCACTTGATCGATCCATCCTTCTATCTATCCACCAATCCTTCTATCTATCTATCCATCCTTCTATCTATCGATCCATCCTTCTATCTATCTATCCATCCTTCTATCCATCCATCCATCCTTCTGTCTCTATCTCTCTATCCGGTCCGCACTGCAGGAGCTGTTTTGTGCCCAGCCAGCAGGGGGCAACAACGACTCCCCTGAAAAGTCTCTCTTCGACCAGCGACAAAGACGACAGGACTGACGTCATCGCGCACAACGTGTAGCAGCAGCCGAAGCAACATGGCTCTGAATGGAGGTTTGTGAGCTAATAACTGAGCGAACTTTGACATTTCTGCCCTTCACCTGTTGTGCGGATAAAGAGACAGCATGTCGCAGGCACAGGGAGCGACTCCTGACTGTACTCAGTGTTTTCTACTGTGATTTATAGTCGGTGTAGTCTACATGAAGTCAGCCAGACGTTAGCCCGGCTGCTTTGCTAGCTATCTTTAGCGCACTGCGGCTACGCTGCGTATAACAACACTACTTTGAAACCTATTGATCAATTAGCAAGTATATTTTTATGTAAAATGTGTAGATTAAACTGGACAAAGTGGCACCAGAGATTTAGACGCACATGGACGAGTGGTGCTAGCAGCTAACCATGAGCCCCATCACAGCAGAAACAGTCTGTAAGTGCAGTTCGGTTTAATTCAAGCATCACTTTGTTATTGCTTCCAGATGATAAGGACTACGAGTGGGAGCCTCCGACCGAGGCAGAGCTGAAGGTGATCCAGGCTCGCAGGGAGCGACAAGACAAAATCAGCAAGCTGATGGGAGACTACCTGCTCAAAGGATACAGGATGCTGGGAGAGTGTTGTGATGCGTGTGGGGTGAGTGGAGCGAACCTGTGTGTAAGTTTAATCTGCTTTAATGAAAGACAAGTGACGTGGGATAACATTTGGTTTTTGTTACGCAGACAATTCTTCTCCAGGACAAACAGCAGAAACACTACTGTGTTTCATGTCAGGAGCTGGACTCTGATGTTGACAAGGACAACCCTGGTATACACACATGCACATTAAATGCCAGAACCAGCTGTCACTCCTCCATCATTGCTCCTCCTCTACCGTTTGCTTCTCGTAAACTGCATTTGTTATTGTCTTCCTTTCTTCCTCTCTCCATTACTCAGCTCTAAATGCACAAGCAGCATTGTCCCAGGTGAGAGAACGGCAGCTTGCAGCTCAGTCCCCTGCACCTCCCCAGGCCCCTGAACTCAACGGCGTCCCCAACAACAGCCAGGCAAGTGCAACAGTTCCTCAGCCCAGACCAGAGCACTGCGAGGGGGCTGCCGCAGGAGGAAGAGCCTCCCTGCTTCCACCTGCTGTGCCTCCTCCGTCAGCTCCTGCCACCCCTCCAGCCCTGGCACCACCTCGTCCCCCGGTTTCTCCACAGGCCGCCGCCCTCCGACCTGTGTTGCAAGAAGCTGAGGAAGCAGTTCTTACCAAACTTCGCTGGGCCACCACCCAGCTACAGAGCTCAGCCTCTCTAGAGGCAAGTATCCAGCTCTGCAGCCTCATCTCCAGCTGTGCCAACTCACTGCGCAGTCTCAAGGACCTCGACCAGTAACCATCTTTGACTGGTTTAAGATGTGGAGTAATGGGAACGCTGTTTTAATTGCCCTCTTGTCTTGGAATACTGAGTCTGGTTTGCCGCTTTGCAGAATCACCCTTTGACTGAATCCTCGCATACAGCTGAATTCAAAATTGGTCTGCAAAATGCATTGAAATGGGATTTAGGTGTCAAAAGTGCACAGCTCTTGAGTTAATGTACCACTGGCAGAAATTACATATTACATGGTTTCATAATATGTTAGATTTTACTGTTTTTTTTGTCAACTTGTTAATTAAGATTTAATTGATAACAATAGAACATATGTCCAAACATATTAATTGTTAGTATTCATTTTAAACCATCTGATCATTAAAAATCTAAATAAGGCTTAAATATATGTATATTTTCAGAACAAAACAAAGCTCACATATATCCACAGTGGTTTGGCTCTCATAGATTCAAAATGGCCACATTTACCAGACAGACATTTTTCTTCTTGATTGATTGTTTTCTCGTTTCACAAAAAAAGGTTGTAGGTTTGCAAATCACATTTTGAACAAAAACTTAAATCCCGGTGCATACATGCTTTTGTAATTATCTGTACACGCAAGAGTTTCTGTGCTACAAGAACGTAGGTTAAAATGTATGGTCTGTTGGTACCAGTCCTCTAATCCGACCCTGCTTTTTCCTCACAGGCACGAGACAGAATTTTGTATTTACTGCTCAGTCTGATGCTCCGATAGATTTCTTATGTCCTCTGGGGTATAAAACTTGTCACTGTATGCTGGCACTTTTTAGGTTTTTATTGTAAATATCTTTGATGCATGGTGGTATCGATGGTCGGTTTGTTCTGTGATGCTCAGATGAGACGGGCAACATTTAGGAGTCAGACTCATTGTTCCTCATTCATTAAAAAACGTGTAAATGAGGTGTGCACTGTTCATCAGTAGACAACACTTCATATTCGAAGAAGCAAGTTTCAGTGTTGTTCGAGGCTGTCGGTTTTCTAATTACGTACCTGAATAAAGCTTTGCCAGTTCAGGAGGCGCGCAGTATGTTTATTTCCACAAGAGGGTGCCATGCAGAGAGCATTTCCCTAAATGCATGAGTTAAAAAATTACTTTATTATTAATAAACATTTATAAACTGCATTTCTGTTTATAATATGTGAATTGAAGTTCATATAAAGCTTTGTTTGTGCACACAAGTTGCTCTGGTCTTATTGGGGTTACAAGTATTAATTGCTTATGCAAAATAGGTAAATTAACCCTCTACTTCTAGTCCCCCTGTTTGGACAGGAGGCATTTTCTGTTTTTTTTTTCTGTTTAATTAAGTCTGAGTAAGTGGTCACCATTTACTTCAATTGAATTGGATTTGGCTGCAATGCTGTTTACCCCTGAAACTTCAGAAGTGTTTTGTGGACTCAAACACTTCTCCCACCCCTCCAGCGGCATAGCGGTGAGTAAATATTGAATGAATTTTCATTTTCCGGTGAACTATCCCTTTAAAATTCATACCTGACTCCTAAATAACATACATGCACAGTGTGAGTTCCTGCATTCGAATTAAAGGCAACCGGGAAATTATGTTACAAAAATATACCAACAGGGGGCGCACGGTGTCTTTCTTCACTCCTTGAGGCCTCCTCT